ATGTGTGAAACGGTGAGGTAATGAAGCGGAGAGAGAATCCACATCCAAGCACTACTTTAATATAACAAACAGGTAATCCGGGGTAAACAACAGAACACGGAACTACAACTGACGCACAGAGGCAAACAAGCTGAACAAGATAACAAGGGGGCGGGGCTAATTAGAAACACCCGGAGAGTCAAATAAACATGAAAAACTACAAAGGACTACAAAACATAGCACAGAACAGGAAATAACAAAAGTCCACACACAAGACCAGAATCATGATAATGTGAAACTGAAGACTGGAGTAATGGCTGCTGTAAATTGTACGTCATGTTTTACTATACATTTAATAATAAAATAAATACAGCCTTGGTGAGCATAAGAGAAACTATTGTTTTGGTGAACGCCTGCCACTGCTTTTGCACATTCCCACTATTAAACAGTTGTAATACTTTCTACTAAGTACTATCTACTTTATCTTGATATAGTGCAGCTATTATTGGTGTGTTTATTTTCAAAATGGCCATATCGCTCTCTTTTCCCATTATTCAAAGTCTCTTACATAAGAATCCACACAGTAGCTCTCTCTCAGACATAAAGCCCGGCTGTACCAGCACCATCTCTGCCGAGCGCTGACCCAGATTCCATTCCCACAGAATCACAGGAAGTCAGACTGCTCCCAAACAACCGGTGACCCACTGATCATAATGAAGCTAATCTTTGCCACACATACTTATTTATTTAGTTCCAACTTCCTAATCCCTGTGTGTGTGTAGTTTTTCTTTCTCCAATCTCTTTCATTTCTCCTTTTCTCTCTCTCAGAGAGTAACTGACAGTTACAACAGGCAGTGTTTATGTCTCTCGGTCTGTCTGTCACCTCACTGTCTGTGGACGTTATGGTCTGGGTGTGGCACAGAGGCAAGTTTATTGCATTTGACTTGCTCTGAAACTGAATCTGTCTGCCTTGACATTTAAGTAAATCAGCAACAGATTTTATTTGGTGTGCTTTTGCCTCAAATCTCAAGTAATCTTTATCCCACAGTTAAACAAAACAGCCATCTGGCTGCAAACAGATAGACCCATGCGTCTCCACTTTGCCATCGAAACATGAACAGTATAACATTTATAATCTGATTACCTTTTTCAAGTAACTAGTAAAGTAACACTTTACTATTAAATAAAAAGAAAACATCGGAGTAACTTTTTCAAACAAGTAAATAGGTTGTTTTTCCCATTTACATTTATTCATTTAGCAGACGTTTTTATCCAAAGTGATTTACAAATGAGGTACATGTGATTCAGCACAAAGAGGCAATAAACACGAGCAGTGCAGGTAGCACAAAGTTTCAGAACGTTGTTTGGAATAGTACAAGCTAGAACAGGCAGAACTTAAGGAAAAGTAAAAGCATAGGGGAATGTTTTTTTTTTTCCAGCAGGAAGCAGTGAATCTTCAGCTGTTTCTACACTTCTGTTTCTTTCAGATAGGGTTGAGAAGATCATTCCTCAAGCAAGGAACAGTGTAAGAAAATGTTCTGGATGGTGATTGTGTGTCTCTCAGTAAAGTTACCATGAGGTGTTGCTCATTTACGGACCTCGGGCTTCTGGAGGGGATGTAGAGTCATAAGAGTGGAGGGTGCAGAGCCTGTGGCTGTTCTACCGGTATATGCAAACATCTTGAACTTTATGTGAGCCGTAACTGGTGTGATGTGGACTCTCTTGGCTTAATGAGTAATGAGTGGCTTAATGAGTAATTTATTTGATTAGGATAAACCCCTTGAGATGCAACATCTCGTTTTCGAGGGGGTCCTAAAGTAAATCACAGCCATCACAAAAGAACACGAATCAAAATAAACAAACAAAAACAACAACAATTACACTTATTTGACAAACAAGTACATACAGAACCACAAAAAAAAAAAAAAACGAGATATGCAAAACTTTACAACCACAAGATCAAATTGGCAGAAATACATTGTATATACAGTAGTATGTAAGCATTCTGTGTCAGCATCATACATTACAAGAGCAGTTAGTCATAAAATAAGAAGACAAATTATGCTTAAAAATCCCAAATGAAGTGATGGATGAATGAAGACCAGTCATGATGCTGTGATCTGGATCATTTAGTGGTTTGATCAAACATGGAAGTCCATCCTGAAGAGAATTGCAATAAACCAATGACAAAGGCCTGGATGAGAAGTTATTCAGTTAGGAAGGATCTGGACTTCTTGATGTTGTGCAGTGCAAACCTGCATGATTGTGCTGTCTTTGCATTGTGGTCTTTGAGGGTCAGATGGTCATCAAAGATTACCACAAGATTTCTGACCCAACTGATAATCTAAACAACAGAATTAAGCAAACGCGTACACGCTTCCATAGTCTCAAGTGACTAATTGCTTCACCTGCATTTAGTTTCTGAACTAAGCAACATTTATAAACGGACACCTCTCCTGTCGCCATGTTGAGAGAAATTGGCAGTATAGAGGTGTTCTGTGCGTTGTGTGTGAACGTGATAGTATTTCTATTGTATTTCTAGACTAAATGTGAGGATGCATTTACACTCCATACAAACACACTATTAGGCACTATCAGAAACACTCTTAAAGTCAGCACAAAATCTAAATTGACCCTATATTTTTCATGCATGTTACTGAATGATTCATCCATGAATTCATTTTTTTTCTTTTAATTTGAACAATGCTTTTTGATCTGCCTTCATTCTAGTATGCAACACTTTATGTGATGGAAAACTTTCAACTTTATTTTGAATTATATCTATTATTAATTACTAAATTAAAGTGTTGTCTTAAATACAGGAAGACAGTATTATTATATATATTTGATTTTTATTTAAGCATTACAATCCTAAATGGTTATTAGATTGGATTTCAGGGGTTTGTGTGTCTATGTGTGCTCGTTGGAAGGAAGGAACAGCTGTTTCATTGTGTTGATGCACTCTCAGATGAATGGAGAGAGAGAGCCTTCAACTGAACCCAGAGACCCAGTTCAGTTGTATCATTTGAAACCGCCCCTCTGTGGTTTGATTGGCTGAAGGGGTTGAAGGGGGGGGGGGGGCATTAGATTGTTGGGAGGTCTTTGTCTGTTTGGTTTTTGTCTTTAATGAGATTTCAGACTCCTGGTCATCAAACCAAGGCTTCAATTATTAGCAGCACCATGTCTGCACTAACTTCAATGCATTATCATTGATGCCGTTTACAATATGCCTGGATGCAGTATTAAATGAGAGGAATTCTGTGTGCAAGTTGGATATAATACAGCAATAATTCTTAAAATTGTGATGGTCTGTATTAGCCTGGCTGCGCCCTCCTACGCACTTCCGCTCAATTTAATTTTCCTTCAGTACAAATGAAATGTATGTACGAGAGTCTGGTTGAACCAGGCTAGGTCTGTATAGCCCGGCAAATATTTTTAATTTCCACAAAAAAAGTAGAGAAAGGTGCTACTCTGCTATTCTTTTATGGATCTTTGAATGTTATGCCTAGATGGGATCTGCAACATGTAGAAAACTAAGAACTATACTTTTGCAGTTTACATTTGCATTTTATTCTATTTTTGTTCTGTGCAAGCACTATAAAAACTCAAAATGGTTCTGAGACTGAGCACATTTAGATTATCGATTAAAAAAAGTAATAATTGGGTAATGCACTAGCATGTTTTGAAGCAAGCGGATATATCTCTCTCTTTTCTTTTCTCTTTTTGAGTCAGAGAGTAAGAAATGTGTCTGTATACTTTTTTATTATTATTATCGATCAATATGTTGATACAAACTTTGTATTGTTCTCCATTTTCTTTCTGATTGGTAAAACACCAATAAAAAGAGTTAAACTAAAAATAAAGTAATAACAACTGGGAAAGAAAAGAAAGTGTGTAATTAGGCATGTATTGAGTGTATATGTATCCTTGTGTGATGTAAGCTGAATATAGGTCAGTAGTGTAGGGAGAGGGAGCTCTGGCTGACCTCAGCACAGACATGCCTTTGTTATGTAACTCTCTTCTCTTCCCTGCCCCTCCCTCATCTCTCGCTATTGCTGTTTTCTCAGATTCAAACTCAAGATTTTGGCATGGTAAATGAGCTCATGGATGCGTATAAGCAACGGATTAATAAACGTGTTTATATACATATATAGTCCATATATAAAACAAACATGCACATAAACGCATTCTCTCCCAACCCATGGCTGACGCTTGCTTCATAAAAGTGTGACATAATTAGTGATCCGATGCTGCCCTCTGGCGGTAGAAGGACGCATAACTAACAGTTTTGATTGTGAATAAAAGAAAAAGCAAGATTATATTCGGTAATGCGTAATACAGTAAATGTAAACCTGTTCAAACATTTCAAAGCACTGAATTCTGCATCGCTCTTTTGAATTTTTTACATTTTTTCTTACCTAGACTAGAGTCACAGATCTCTTCATAATTTCAGTTGTTTGTGCCTATTATGAGCTATAGTTTTAATAGATATGCATATTATGTGTATTTATTTTTATTTAAATACACAACAATAAACTTTAATAATATATTTTAAGTGTTTTTCATTAAATGTATTGGTTATTTACTCACCCACTTGCAAACCCGTTTTATTGTTTTAAAAAAGGATAGTTAAAGTAAATTGTGACATTGTAACATCCAAAATAAAATAAAATAAAAAATAAAGTTAGTCTCTCTGGTAAATGTGTCCATTTATTTATATCGAAATAGTAGGAAGAAAATAACACAAACACATATATTTAATATTTAAAAAAAAATGTAATGGACTTTTTTTTCTTAGTACAGTGGTAAAAGGGTAAACGAGGTCGTGTTTATTTACCTCTTTGTCTGCGTCAACAATGTCCCTCCAATTGGATGATTTGGATGTCAATCAAAAGAACATCCACTAGGACGGCACTTTCACGCACAATGTTATTGGTCCATTCATGTGATCGCCCCGCCTGACAAACGTCGAATCTTGCTTTTGATTGGACGCGACTGCCTCGTTTAAATTTGAACCGTTTCAAACAGTGGATTGCGGAAAGTTATAGATGCACAGCATCTGTGTGTGTATCGTGCTGTCTTTCACTGAGAAGAAAACGTTATTTTTGTGTTAAATTTGAGCAGTTTGAATAAGGTACGTATTTTAGGAAACCGTCTACACAGTTATAGGATACATATAATGAAATATTGCGTGATATTGAACAGTAAAAGACGTTGCTAGTTACGGTTTGCGAGTGCTAACGTTGCTACTATGACGTTGGGAAATATCCGCATATGAATGATACTGTCAAATTTTCAATTATTGCTATCGATCTAACTTAATTGATTTATGTAGAGATCTTCACTCTTTTTTACTCTCGAAATGTGAAATTATTTGGATAATAATGGCAAAAAAGAAAATGTAGTAACGTTATTGGTTAGGAAAACAAATATAACGTGAAATAGTTTGATTTGATCTTTGTTTGAGATTTAGAGACAGTGTATTTCCAATAAAAAGTACGTAACGTTATTTAGCTTTTTTATTGAAACGAATGGTTCTTAAATGTTGTTTTTCATCAACCCTCTGTCATCCATGTAGGCACGTGACGCGGCTGTTAACTTTTAGTCTTAGTTCAAATCGTACTGGCTGTTCTTGTATGGCTTTACTTTATTGCTTTCATTTATATTACTTGGTCTTGGATCTAAATGTGTCCAGGTCAAAACCTAATAATGCTATTTATGATGGTGGGCTGTTTATAACCTGTCCAGGTAGGCTGTAGAAGAGAGAAGCTGTCAGGAGTGCCTGTCATTACAAAGCTGACAATTTTATTGTCAGTCCTACATAGTTGAGCAGAATCCAGGGAAGGACAGATGAGGCCAAAATTGGTAACGTTAATGATTCTTTGAAAATTTTACCAGTCTCTTGTTCCTCATTGTCATAATAATCATGCCATTAAGGGATTGCCACAGTGTCACTGTCTGGTAGACACAATGTCACCATAAGCCAAATCACAAAGCTGTGTTGCTGCCATCAAAAAATGTGTAGTTAACTGCTGGTTTTCTTCTGCTATATCTTTGACCATCTCTGGTCATACTCCTTCACTGATAAAGATCCACTTTGTTCCCTCAGCTGCACATAGCTGAATTGCACCGGTTGATATTACATGCTTGGGTTGTTAGTCACAGTGGTTTAGTCTGATCTCTGTCTGATCCTCAAAAGAAAAGCTACAGATTTGAGGTGTCTCATGAGTATTAGTGTCTCTGGGTGTTGGGTGAGAAGATCAGATGCCCGCCTCTGGGTCTTATCAGTAAAACCAGCTGTGAATGGTGCCCTCTGGGCGTGGCTTTCCTAAACCCAATGTTGTTATATTATGTGTCTCTCTTTCTTGCAGTATGACTTCTGAGGCGCTGAAGGAGAATCAGGGAGCTGGATGGATGAACAGCATTTCTGAAGACACTTGTGACATTTTCGCATTGGAGCAGCCGACTGGCAGGCCCTCGATCCTGCGGCAGTCGCAGGCTGACAACATCAGCAGGACTGCTCAGAGAGGAGCAAAGGTGGGTTTTCCAAAGGTTTCAATTTACCTTTAGTTTTGTACAATAAATTGTAAAATGTAATGTTTTCTATTTGAATATGTATATTTCAGCATACATCATTACTCCTGTCCTCAGTGTCGATTGATCATTCAGAAATCATTCAATTTGCTGCTCAAGAAACATTTCTTATTACTATCAATGTTGAAAACAGTTTTGTTGCTTAAAGGCTCCCTGAAATCAAAATGTTATCAACACTTATCAAAATAAGTTTTTTATTTTAGTATGAATATGTTAACCTTAAAGGGTCAGTTCACCCAAAAATGAAAATTCTGGGAGTAATTACTCCCCCTTGTGTCGTTCCAACCCCGTAAGACTTTAGTTCATCTTTGGAACCCAAATTAAGAGATTTCTTTTTTGATGAAGTCTGAGAGCTGGCTCACTCTGTCATAGGCTGTAAGGTAATTTCACAGGGATTAAAGTTCTCCGTCGCTACGACGGATTTCCGTCAATTGCATGGTTGCTGTCTGTCCTTATGTCTTAAATTCACTTTTCATAATTTTAAGGCCGTAAATAGGCTTTCATTCCCGAAATAGTGTAATAAATGTCTTAATTTTAGTTTGAATAGATCTTAAATTAAGGAAAGATGAGATGTATTCATCATGCTGAGGGGGTTGTGATCAAAGCCTGGAGTGGAGCCAAAGCACATTACTCTCTCCACTCTAAGCATTTTGCAATCACTTCCCTCTTGGTCCATTCCCGGTTTTTAATTCCCGCTCATTGAAAAACTAACATGTGAAAAGAAGACGCTTACTAGTAAACATTTTTTTTTAATAGTTGGTTGGGATGAGTAACTGAGTATTTAATTATAGAATATCAAATAGGTTGTGCGATTGTCTAAAAAAGATCTCCATGTTTTTGCCAATTACCTTAAAGCTGTCAAAAAGAACCGGCAAAAGCAATGATTACGAATATCAAATAAAGCAAGGAGATATTTTAATTGTTTATTAATAAACAAGTGTTTTCTGCCAGTGTCTGCTCCCTCGGCTGGAAAGATGAAGTTGCTGCTCAATGCTGACTCGCGATCTTTTGCAGTTGGCCTACCATAGTGAAATGAACTTTTCATATGGATTACATGCACAGAGAGCAGTCTGTTTTCTTGCGTTTTGAATCATTCTAGTAGACATTTCAATATAGATATATTTCTCAGGTGTGTGAGGCAAGTATTCGGTTGCTCAAAAACGCTTTATTCCAAAAAAAATTATTCCATTTTCCAACTGTATGTTTGTTAAGAATGAAATGGCTAGAATATATTCACACCTGTACTATTGAATCCAACGTATCATCGCTCAGATTAGCTTCCGTGGTACCATGGTGGTCAAGTACGAATTGTAGTCTATGATGAACTAAACGCTATTTGAAAAGGGGGAGGGGCCAGTTAAGCATTTGTTAACTGTGCATTGTCAGACATGTACTGTAGTGTTTAGATTTACATGCGTAGTTCTTTGTTGTTTTTGGATAGGTTTGTTTTCAAACTCCACGGCGAGACCCAGTCACAAAGAAAATCATGTCCCCAAGCCGCACCAGTAGGCCTGCCATCCAAGAGGACCACACTAAAGCACTGGAGACTCACTCAGCCTCTACTGACCAGTGAGCAAATAACTTGGAGCTCTACTTTTTTATGATTTAATTTTTATTTTATATTATTTTAGAATAATAATTTAACTGGACATATTTTTTTTAACATCCAATTTAGTTCAGTGTCTTGTTGCAGTCAATCATAATCTTTTTAAATAAAAATGACAATCCACTAACATGTAAAAATGAATTTGTTTTACAGGAGTTCATTGTTGAATAATAACACCACCACCACACCGGTTAAAATGCAGAGTAACGACGTTGCCTACCCTGAGGATGACATTCCTATTCAGAGCAAAGGGGCCTATACTCTCAATCTCGACAATCCAGATGCCATTAACCCTTTCCAGGGGTCCAATATAATGGCAAATTCACCTCCTAAGTCTTCTGCTTTTCCAGAGCTTGTAGAGTCTGACACAACTGCGGCCCTCATTTCGGCTGAGGTTCCAGAGGTGGCCAACTCAGCACTTGATGAGACTCTTCCTTTTATCTCATCAGTGAACAATTCCCTTGCAGAATCTTCTGCCAACATATCTTCAGCAGAGGGTACTGTCATCATCAAGACTGATAATGTTGAAAACAGCATCACAGAGACAGAGGAGACTGAGCCAACCTCAGCGTCACAGCCGATTCCTACTATGGAAGATCAGCATGAGGCCCAGGATTTGCCACTCCCCCCTGTAGGATCGTACAACTTGGATTTTGACAATCTTGATTTGCTCAACCCATTCCAAACTGGTGGCTCAAAGATCCCAAACTCTCCTGTGATTGGCAAAGCATCAGTTGTTTCTGATCCACCCATGCCAATCCAAGAAGCCAAGCAGGACTCAGAGATCTCAGTCCAGACTCCAGATGTCCCGCCCCTGCCAAGCCAAGAAGCCAAGCTGGAATCTGAGCTCTCAGTCCATAGCCCAGATGTCCCAAGCCAAGAAACCAAGCAGGAATCTGAGCTCTCAGGCCATAGCCCAGATGTCCCAAGCCAAGAAGCCAAGCTGGAATCAGAGCTCTTAGTCCAGATCCCAGATATACCACCCCTTCCAAACCAAGAAACAAAGCTGGAAGCCGAGCTCTCAGTCCATAGCCCAGGTGTTCCAAGCCAGGAAGCCAAGCAGGAGTCTGAGCTTTCAGTCCAAAGCCCAGATGTCCCAAGCCAAAAAACCAAGCAGGAATCTGAGCTCTCAGTCCATAGCCCAGATGTCCTAAGCCAAGAAGCCAAGCTGGAATCAGAGCTCTTAGTCCAGACCCCAGTGGTCCCAACATCCTCCAATGCTTCAATGCCACCTAAGGAGAACCAGATGCTACTAGAGTTTAACTTTGATGATGGAGTCAAGCGCAAACCTCCAAAACGCTTTGGGGTCAAAAGACCTGCAAGTGCAAAACCTGTGACCAAAAATACAGTCACTGAGAAGAAAGAATCAGAACCCGAGAAGAAAGAATCAGAACCCAAGAAGTTGTCCCCCAAGAAGGCAGAGGAGACAAAACCTGTGGATGTTCCTGCTGTTCAAGGTTCTTACACCTTTGATTTTGACGATCCAGACTTTAATCCCTTTGGTACCAAGGCTGCAGTGCGTAGCTCTCCACCACGTGGGGTCCAGACCAGCCCGGTTTTGATGAAAGCACAATCTCCTCTTCAACAGCCTGAGGCTCCTACACAGGATGATCAGCCTGAGAACCGGTACAGAAACTAGAGCTGGAACAGCATGTATTAACACAATACATGTCATTTTAAAAATAATTTTCACAAGTGTGCCTGTAGCTCAATTATTGGTTTGATTTCTCAGATGAAGTAATTAAATATTTTCCCTAGGGGTGGGGGATAAAAACGATTCTTAGATGCACCGCAATGCGGACTATTTTTATCGATAAAAAATGTAAAAAATCGATTTTCAAGTGTTAATTGATAACATAATGTTGACGGAACGCCAAAGGCACCTGGACAGTCTGTGGCGTTCTGCTGTGCAAATAACAGACACATGATGGTTGAGTGAAAAAGAGTATTTACCAAATACATAAATGCGAATAATTGAGCTCTGATTTTAATTTTTTTTTTCTCCTCCAGATCTCACCAAGCAGTTTCTGAAAGTGATAAAAACATGGCAGAAACTGATATTCCTGTCACCAAGCAGGTAACTGTGACTTTCAATTTAAGAATTTAAACAAAATTAGTCTGTTACCACAAGTTATGATCATGTTATTTCATTAAAAAAATCACCTCTCATATCACAGGAGCCAGAGATCATGGCAGCACCTGAATCTTTATTGCAATTTCATAACCAGACGTGTGATCTGGGTGTGATGGCACCAAGTGAAGATGAATTTGTGCCAGGGGCATTGTGTGAGTAAACATGGTTGCACATTTTGAATGACACTGACTCATCTGGTGAAAACTTTTAACATTGGGAGCAAAATGTTTGCTCCTTGTCTCAGTCATGCCAGATGGAGATTTTGATGGGCAGATGGATTATCTGGAGCAGTTTGGATCAAGCACTGTGAGTGTTTCCATTTGAGTCTTTAAACTTATTTACTACTATATTTAAGGAAATGCTGCACCAAATAGAGTGAAGCAATTAGGTTATAGAGGGTATACGTGTGATGTCACTGTTGACCAGAGTGGCTGCGGTTACACCCACTGAGTGGCAAAAAAACTGAAAAAAAATCATACCCTATAAAATGTTTTGACAACTCCTCAATTAAATTTTTACCATCGTATATTCTGCATAATTGGATGTTTTTAGATAAACACTAGCAAAAAGATGGACGATATGATAATAGGGCTATATACAGTAGTCAATTTTTGAAGTGGATCAAAAAAATGTTATTCGATGCTGTCCTAAGACAAGAACGGTTATTTTAAAATTAATGTATAACTTTGATGCATTTCACTTTGATGCAGAAATGTTTTAATGCATTTCAAATGTTGACTAATGTATAACATTGATATAAGTGTTCTGAATTTAGACCTGACTATCTTGCATATAAAGCTTCCACAGGCAAATTTGCTTTTTTTTTTCCTTTTTTTTTTCTTCTTTTCCTTTTTTTTTTTTTCCTTTCAAAGTCAGGCGTAAATGTCAGGAAACGTTTTTCTTGGCTACATGGCAATATCCATTGATCACTGGGTCTTTGATAAGTTGTACGAAACACTATATCGAATATTTAAACCCTTAGATAATTGCTTGTTTTTGCAGTTTCCACTAGGGGTGTAATGATACACGTATTCTTATTGAACCGAGGCGTTCGTTTTTCAGTACGTATTTTTAAACCGAATGGTTCATTGGACCATTTTTCCCGCCAACCAAAAATTCGTAATTTCAAATGTAGATGCGTCACGCATGGCAAGCGCACTCATGTTAGAGATGCTGGCGTGACCACAGCATTGTCCAGCAACAAATGGCAAATGTAATGTTAGCGGAACGAAACTGAGCTACTCGTTATTGTTTGGTTGACGGACCGTTTATCAGTTTGCACCAATGCAGTGTGAGCCGATCTTAAGCGACACTGCTAGTACACTGCGAAATCCAGTAAAGAAAAAAAATTAATTTGCCACTGACGTAATAACATCGCTGCTAGATCTAGTGAGAAACATTTACATTTCTCTGTTATTAACGGATCAAACAGTGCTGACATGGAAACCAGGAAGAAACATTGTGCCATGATTAAACTATTCAGTGTCCACAGATCAGCAACATTCACCATGGATTTACTGTATAACACTATAAACTATAACCATGGAAGTTTGGCAGGAATAGTAGGCTAAAATTCTTTCAAGTAACATTACGTCGGTTTTATTTTGACATTATGAATACAATTGCCCTCAAAATGGTAAAATGAACTAAAATAAACCTTTGTTTATAACTACTACAATATTACATTTCATTTTGTCCAAGGAGCTGTTTGATTTTATATGCCTCTAAGAAGAGTCAACTATAGCTCCATCATTATTTAAAGAGCACCTATCATGGATTTTTGAAAAGGACTGTTCATGTAGTGTGGAATATAGCTCTAAGGGAATGAAAACATCTTGCAAAGATTTATATCTGGAAGTGCACCGTATATAAAGTTATTGTCTTTCAAAAGTGAGAGTCGACTCTGAGTCTATGAAATGAATTGTTTTTGAAACGAGTCATTAGCTGTTCCATCGTGATGTAGATGTAGCATGCACAATATAGTTATATTGTGTTGTGTGTGTTGTGTACACTCCGTGCAGCTTCTAAGCGGGGTAAAGTTAGTTTTGTTTATGATATTCACCAGACATTCATTGAAAAATGGCAATTACCTCCTAAACGACTTAGCCAAATATGACTTCGCTCTATATAATAAGCACTGCCCCTCAAAAGCCGCCGCAATGTGAGTTTCACCAGGAAAGCTTGCTCTTGATGGAGACGCGAGTAAGGGACCGTGTGGAAAGTGCACTTTTTCTGACACGTTTGTTCAAACACTATATACAATTTTCAACACTTGACAAGCTATAATCCTGGTTATGGGCGCTCTGTTGCCGACAGTCTCTGCCTACGGTTTACCAATAACAACTGACGCAGATTCACATCACTCAAAGGAGGTGTTTGGGAAAATGAATCGTCTAACTCAGCCTTTCTCAAACTTTTTTCAGTCAGGGCACCTTTCAAAAGTGCATAAAATCTCAAGGCACCCCAGTGTAAAATATAATTTAAAAACACTGCATAACCCAAATTTAAATGCAAATGTCTTGTTTAGTTAGACAGAACAGTAATGAACAGAGCATAATATGAACTGTAAATAACAATAATAATAAAAACTTTATAGCACCTTTAAAAACACAGGTTTGCAAAGTAATTCACAAAATAATTAATCAGAGACACAAATGCCATAAAACCGTAAGAGGTGGACCGCCCAATACAAGAACCCAATAACAAATCCAGACCAGGAGAACTCAAATGAAGTGCAGGATGCAGATAAAATAAAATAAAAATCCCCGGCTCTTGTGGGGATTTTCTTTTCAAAAAACGATCCATAATGCTGTAACTAAAGTGGCCTAAATTCACGTTTATTTTTACGTTTCTGTCAGTCTGAGGTGTTGCTATAACGCGTTGCTATGGATTGCGTCACTTGCGTCAAGTTGTGTGCGTCTTGCTTCGGTCTTGTGAGACGGATTTTTTTATGATTAATTTTATATATTTATCTAAAATGAATTTACAATTTTATTAATATGTTCATATGTTTAAAAAGAAGAATGTAAATATGTAAATTCAAATATATTTATATATGAAATGTCAGCTGTTTTTTTTTTCCTGTTTTTTTAGCCTATGTAATTTTTTGGCGGCACCCCTGACACAGCTAGGGGGCACCCCAGTGTGCCGCGGCACCCACTTTGAGAAAGGCTGGTCTAACTAATCATTTGGGAGTCGTTGAGCAAATCAGTTATAAATAAATGCATATTACAAGACAAATAAAGTGTTTTTTATCATTGCATGCACGTTAAATTGTTTTTGGGAACTCCTAAAACAAAAATAGGAACATTTAAAATGCTATGATAGTGGCTCTTTAAAGTTTAAAAAATATCATACTTTTATGTTAGTTTTAATAAAAAAAAAAATAATAAAAAATATTAAATCAAGGAAATTTCTCTAGCATTTTTCTTTTTGCTGTATGGAAAACATACCGAAATGTGACACAAGTGTATTGTATCGAACCAAACTGGTGGTATGAATTTTGTGAACCGTTATACCCCTAATTTTCCTTATTAAATCCAGTCTTGCAGCAGGCTCTGTTGCCACTCAGTCAGGCTGAGGGGGTGTTCTGGCGGGAAAGTGACGTCAATGCATATACCCTCTATTGAGTAGCATTTCAGATTTTCAGTGCTTCACAGAAACTCTTTTTATAGTTTAAGGAGTCAGCTTTGCGGAAACAGTCACTGTATTTGAAGTTTGACCCGCTGTTGAAGGAAAGTCCAAAGAAAAGTTTGGTGGACTGCGGCAACTCTGGATTCAGCCTGCCACGGCCTTCTCTTGCCATCAGGTCAGTGTTCTCCGCAAACGCATTCAAATCAACGCTTTCTTGATTTTTGAACTTCTTTTGAAAAGAAGCAAAATGGCAAAATAAATATTACAATTTTCCTCAATGTAAGAGATCTGATTTACATTGTGATCAAAATCTAGAGTGCACACATGAGCGATCATGCAAGCTTAATTTGTGTGGTAGGATGATGGAGGCTGCAAAGTCTGAAGTAAAGCAGAAGTCTCACTATGACAGCATGAAACTGCTGGATGATCTGCCTCCACCAGTAAGACAACACAAACTCCCTAACCCCCCCTTGGTTTTGTAACATTGTTACTATGTTAGTAGACACTGAAACAAGCATTTTCCTTTGGACACTGGAGCCAATTTTACCATGTCTATTCCTCTTCAGGCAGTGGAAACTGTGGTACCAGATCCAACTGTTCTGGACTTACTGGTTCACACATTAAAACAGCCTGTGAAGACTGAGGACTCCATCATAGATGTTCTGAAGTACAGTCAGAGAGACGTGGATGCTATGCTGCAGAAAGCAGATAGAAAGGTCAGTTCCTACACAAGATTATGAGCTTCATGTCTCATTGGCCTCTCTAATGCTTGGTTTGTCTTTTCTTAGGCGGCAGAACAGCAAAAAGAAATGCAGACTCAGATTGACAAATTGTGTCTGGAGAATCAACACATGTTGTAAGTCCTATTAAGACAAACACTTTCACATAGGGGGGTTACCATGATCATTGCCTTTCGCGATTGGAAAAGTGATGGAAATATCAAGAACGAATATTTGGTCCAATTGATCTCCCTCTTGTGATGTTTGAATTTTGAAAAAGTTGTTCTTTCAAATTTGATTCTCAAATAAGTAGGGTATCGAGTATCAATACTTTTTAGGCACGACCAAATTGCCTCTACCATGGAGTTTTAAAAAATCTCTCGTTGTTCGTTACCCAAGGGATTAATCTTGTCAATCTCAGTTAGCCAATAATCATGCTGCATGACTGGCGATTGCAAGGCATCAAGGAAAAACAAATTTAGGCCAATTACACCCAGAGACATGGCTTCCACATGAGGTGTAACCACCATAGATTTAAAAGATGTCAAAGATCAGCACTCCAGCACATTTCACCAGGTTCGATGCCAACAGTGCGCAATGCGATATTTGCGACAAGATAATTGCTGCCGAGACCGGCAACACGAAGCATTTAACATTGCTTGTAATAAATTTAGAGCAGAAAGTTTCTCCGTTTTTAGACTGCATGAAGAACTGGAGTGTGTCACAAATTAACCGAAACTCATATAGGCTTCTTGCCTCACAGACATGAGAAATAGGCATATTGGAAAGCTTGAAAAGCTTTTAAACGAATCAATTCAAATTGAAAACAAATAATCTGATTATATACATTATGTACATTTCTTTCTTTAGGCATGCGTGCATTCACTACTGCGGAGATGACAAGTCAGCAATGTCAACTTCATCTTTGCAGCCAGCACGTTTATTAACAAACAATTAAAACGTCTGTGCTATTTCCCCCGACACATTCATAATCATTAGGCTACATTTGCCAGTGCTTTGCGGCAAGCTTTGTGTGTGCTAGTATCGCCCCCCAGTCACTGGTCCTAGTATAGGTCATAAATTTTTTTTCGGGATCTTCAAGGGACGGAGGAGATTGGAGCTTTAAAGTTAATATCTAAATTTCTATAATTAATTTTTAAAAAAGTGCAGGAGCATGTTCTTGCGATTGATTCTGGACAAAAAAATGGACAGATTTCAACAGAGAAAGTTGAAGTCCATTGGAAGATTAGAGCTTCTCCTTCTGTCTATACGGTAATTTCTCTATGCAATCGTTAGCTTATTTTTACAAAAACGGCTTCTACGGGGCCATAGCGTAAGATGCTAAGTAATGGTGCCATCTATCTATTGTCCTGTTTCCTCAGAAATAATGGACAAATAGAGTCTTTGGACGCCTCAAATGTAAAGTTATTAGCGAAGCTCAACTTTCCGGCTGGTGGATTACCTCCTTGGTAAAGGTCAACAAACTGAGAAAATAAAACCAAAGATTTTTGTTGGGGTAATGAAATCTTGTTAAAACAGATTTCATCAAATTGGTGTCAAAAAAAGTTGCGTTCAGGAAACGATATTGAACATTTTGAATGATACCTAGCCCTACAAATAAGTCAATTTAAAGAAAAGACACCAAGGAATGATTTGCTTACCATTTAAAAAAAAAAAAAAAAAACCATCTCAAGAGCAAGATAATGATTCTTGTGAAATCCATAATGAATTATTGACATTTGAACAATGCACCAATCTCACTCAATCTCTTCCTCCTCTTCTCAGGTTCATAGTGTCTGAATTTGAGGCCACCATCACTCAAATCACAGGTGTGACCAGATTTTTTTTTATTAAGTACACTATTTTTAAGGAGTATGTTGGATATTAAAAAGCATGCGTTTACAGATGAGCATAAACAGAAGGAAGACTTGGCGAAAATTGAGTTGGAGCGAGTCCTTCAGGAAAAAGATCAGCTGTCTAAAGATTTGAATGAAATGGAGCAGTCCTTCTCCTCTGTTGTCAAACGTCTTGACAGATGCAAGGAAGTTATTGAGGGATTCAAAAAGGTACACTGAGACTTCTGCAACAAGACTAGCAGACTTAATCCCAAATCAAGATGATATTTTAGTGTGTAACGGTAATCCCCCCCCCCTTCTGTTCTATAGAATGAGGAGACACTAAAGCAGTACGCTCAGAACTGCATGGACAGACTGCAGAAAGAGGAAAAGCGCTATCAAGCTCTGAAGGCCCATGCTGAGGAGAAACTAGATCAGTACGTGCTCTTCAAACAGTCTGTAATGTCTGAAATATGTCCTTTCTTATGAACGTAATAGTACAGTGAACATGGATCAATTAATATGGCTATAAAAGTCTCACCAATGCCACTGTTTCAGAGCAAATAAGGCCATATCCGAGGTTCGCACTAAACTGGGCGCAGAGGTGGCAACGCTGCAGGTGCAGCTCAAGAGAGAACATCTGAAAGTTCAGTCCCTAGAGAGGGATCTGGAACAAAAGGTACATGAGCGCACACGAGGGATGTCACTCTTGCAGTGGTGGTACAGCAGATCCTTATGGGTGTAGGGCTGAATTACTTGGTGTTCAACATCTATATTGTTTTTGTTGTTGACATTTGCTATTTTCTATTCTCAGGCTAAAGAAGTCAAAGATGTCACAGATCTGTGTGATGAGCTGCTGTTAAAAGTGCAAAAGCATGGTTTTTAACGCACTTTGCCCTTTGTGTTCATTATTTGTGTTGGTTCGTTATTTGTATTTGTTGTAAGGATTTTTAATAAATAAATAAATAATCATACAAACACCCAGTTTTGGCCAATCGTGTTAATCTTGAGTACCTAGAGTGGTATTGCATCATATCTCCAAAAAGTCTTTAGTTTTATTATATTTGTAAAAAAAAAAAAAAAAAAAAAAAAAAAAGTGTAATTTGCAGGTGGGACGGAAGGGACATGTCCTCGCCACTTTTTGCCAGGGTCGATATGGTCCCCACCCCTTTTGAAACATCTCACGGCACCGATGTAAATACAAATGAATAAGAACATCTCTAGTTAACTAGCCGAGAATTACTTTCATTCGTTTGTAAAATAAGAGGCCATCTAGCGCTGAAATGTGGTGTTTTTGAAGCCAAGTGATCAAAGTGCTCGTCGATCAGTGGTGCGGATACAGTGTTCTATGTGGCTCATGATTCCACAACCACTGATAAACATAATATATACACACACACACATATATATATATGTGTGTGTGTGTGTGTGTATAGAGGTTATAGGTTAAAAGCAGCTAAGTGCTATATCCTCAAGTCTAATTTTAACTTGGTTTTTCTCGATTGTTTGTTTACACACATTTTCTGGTACTTGAGACACAATGACCACAACATGTAACTCATTCACCAACCCCCTGAACCAATTCTGCTGAACTACAAGCACAATTCCTGCTTTACACTCAAATTGCAGTTCTAAAACACACGTTTTTCAAAACACTACACATAATTCTCTGCATTTGGCACAATTTTCATGCAGAAAAATCTCTTGTTTTCATGAGGAACACACTGCCATTCAAATATTCACACTGACTCGTCACATGGGCAAACACCCGTCACACAGTTTTACAATTAGTGATCAGAGTGTAACAAAGTTCAGGGAAGAAGGAGGCAGGAACCGGATAATAATAATAAAATAAAACTTTATTTAAATAAAATAAACAAACAAATTACCTGCCCAGCAGCCCCTCGCGGACGACTGCTGGCTACCCAAAATAAAACATAAATACCGGCCAGCAGCCCCTCACGGACGACTGCTGGCTTACCAAATAAAATATAAAATACAAATAAAAGCAGGCCTGTTCCTCTCTCGATCATCCACTCCGTCGCTCCCCCTTTATGGCTCCGCTCCTTCGTGAGAGATGCGAGACCGGTGTGCCTCGCAGGTGCTGCTCATTAGCAATCGCACCACCGGCCTCGCGACTTTCTCTCACGTCCCTCGGCCGTCCTGCTCACCACACAGAGCTTTAGCATAAAATACCAAAATCAAAGAGAGGATGCAGCATAGATATTTTTTTATTTCTTTTTTTACTATAACAGCATAAAAAATTCTGTTGTTTTGTATGTAGGCCACTGTATGTGCAACTTTGTGTTGGTTGGGGTGTACAAAATGTGGGATCTATCTCCCATTGATTTTGTGGGAAAAATATAGTAAAATATATTTGTTACTGTGTATTTGTGTGTTCTGGGTATAGAAAAACAATATTCTCAAATATTTTACAACACACTTATGTATGTAATGTCTGTAGTAAGTGTAACTGAACAAAAAGGCCTAAGTCATTATGATGAATGGTGAAGTAGTGTTTTACATTGATCGTAGTGTTTTACATTGAGCACATCAGTGTTCAACTGGTTCTTCATATGATGGTTTGTGTGTGTCATTTGACTTCCAGTTAATCCTTGCTTGGCTTTTCTTTCTTTTTTTCATTCACAAAAAGCAATTTAAAGATGGCTTTCTATTTGTTACAAAAGTCTTAAATGTGTGTATATAGATATAGATACACATTGTATATTTAATGCCATCAATCAATACAAACATGTTTTATTAATTGCATTGTTTAATGGCAAATGTTTCAATGAAAGCATCACTAATGCCAATACCACTATGATGTCTCCTGAAACTGATTTTTTTTTTGTAACAATTCACAAACCCATTATAATAAATGCCACATTTACCTATGCCTTCAAAATATCAAGGGCTCAAATGTTGCTATTGATTCAGATTTTTACATTCACTGTCAAAACAATGCACAGTTGGGGGTTTTTGATCCATGGAACCTTGTAAATACTGTAGTGCTGAAAGATTGTTAGGTAGGTCTAACAGATAGGATATACAAAGATATCAAACATTTCAGTTTTCACTGCATAAATTATAAATGAAATATAGCAGTGAGTGACTTTGGTTTTTGACTAACATGATATCAGAGCAGTATGTTTATTAGGCTGCTGTCATTTGAAGACCTGACGCACATGACTCGGATCTGGCATCCTCTTTTTTCACCCTAACTGTTTACGTGCATTTAGTTAGTTTAATTGTGCTTGTGAGGATAACCTTATTGTGTTAATTTTGACAGCAGCACTAAAATATATATAATTTATGTTTCTGGTCATTTTGAACATTTAAAAGGATGGGTGATTACTTTTCCCTAAAAGAAAAAAATGTTTGCAAGGCTATTAATCCAGTCAGGATTTTTATTTATGGAAATGACAGCATATTCACCAGTATTTAACACACATCTTAAACAGAGAACAAGACCGTATGCCCTTGTGCATTTCTAAATGTACTACTGATTCACCAATAAAAAACAAATCAATAACAAATACATACATGATTTTATGCTGCACTGATTCAATTTTAAGACACTGTAGCTGATCACCATGGGCAAATAAGCACAAAGCATCCAGGACTGACATCACAAAGCATTTCATTATTCACACAATAAATATATCACATCAGCACAGTCAAGTTCCCATGGCCTGAGCTTGGATTCAGCATGTTTATTAATATAAAAACAGCACTATCTGTAAATAATCCCTACAGTCAGACAAAACAGCTGTTAGAATGAGTCCTTAAGACATTCAGCTTTTATTATATCGTGATAAAAATGTCATGACATTCTACTGTGGTGATAGTGACAACACATCTGCTGTACACTGTGATCTTCCAACGGGACCTTAAACAGTAGTCATCAGATCAGTCTGTGCCTACAACAGTCATTCTCATTATACAAACACAAGCATTCTGTTGTAAACGACACTTCAAGCATGTTTCAAAAATAGAATTCATTCTTTTATGTTTATTAAATAGCCACAAAATTGTTTAGAATGCAAACTGAATGATCTAAGTTTTATACAGTCAATTAGTCGATAATACTTTACCAAACTTCAGAAATCCTCGATTTTCGTCAAACATTTTTGGTATGTAAAGACATTGTGCTGGATCTCAGTAGCTCAAGTCAAAGACACATGGAACCAGCCATTATTCGACCTTGGATTAAAAAATCCATGTAAACTGAGATTGACTTGCTCTATCAAGCGTCATAATATTGAGACCAAGGTAAAATCTCCCTTTCTTCACTGTATCAAGAAAAGAATACAGTATGGCATCTTTAAACTCTTCTTTAATGTAAATGTTACATTTTCAACTGTCATCTAAAACGTGGCATGACTCCCCTTTAAGCACACAAACAGTTTTTTGCACCTCTACACCGATTTATGCTACATTATATGCTGCATTATAGTGCATCATAGTCTTAACATTTTAATGCATTAGAGCAATGCAGCTTTACGAGATTGCAAGAATATTTTCGTTACCCACAAGTAGAAGATCATTTAAATCTTAAATTAGCAAACTCATGAGGTAAATCACGTGAGTCTGAAATAACACTTAACAGAGGATGGATGAGCAACTACTATGTTTGATGACTGGTCTCCATTCCAAGAATATATATTGAGCACTTACAACATATTTATGAAGATCTGAGAAGAAGATCTTCATTCGAAGTTTAGATCAGGGATTGCTTTATGATTTAGTCTATTTAAAAATATATTTTTTTTCAGGTGCAATACAAGTTAAAGGGTTAGTTCACCCAAAAATGAAAATTCTGTCAGTATTTACTCACCCTCATGTTTTTCCAACCCCGTAAGACCTTCGTTCATCTTCGGAACACAAATTAAGATATTTTTGATGAAATCTGAGAGCTGGATCACTCCTCCATACTAGTCCATAGGCTTCATGAGGAATTGAAACTTTCCGGCCTCAAAGTTATTAAACACATCGTTAAAATAGTCCAAGTGACTACAGTGGCTCAATCTTAACTTTATCAAACGACAAAAACACTTTTTGTGCGCAAAAACAAACAAAAATAACGACTTTATTTCAACTATTCACTTCCTTCTCTTTGCGCCTCTAGTCAGTTAGCGTAGTGGGATAGCGTAGAGCTACGTCACACGTAGGCTCACTATTGGCCGACGCTGGTCATGTGTGTGATGCGTGTGACGTACAACAACAGATCATACGCAATTACACTAGTTTAACTGACTAGAGGCACAAAGAGAAGGAAGCGAATAGTTGTAATAAAGTCGTTATTTTTGTTGTTTTTTGCGCACAAAAAGTGTTCTCGTCGTTTTATAAAGTTAAGATTGAGCCACCGTAGTCACTTGGACTATTTTAACGATGTCTTTAATAACTTTTTGAGGCCGGCAAGTTTCAATCCCTCAAGAAGCCTATGGACTAGTTTGGAGGAGTGATCCAGCTCTCAGATTATAAAATATATTGTAATTTGTGTTCCGAAGATGAACGAAGGTCTTACGGGGTTGGACCAACATGAGGGTGAGTAAATACTGACAGAATTTTCATTTTTGGGTGAACTATCCCTTTAAGCTATGTATGCACTAAAAATTGAGGCTACAATAAAGGTCTTACTTTTATAGTAAATGGGTCCAATGTTTAAAAATTTAAAGTGATAGTCCACCCAAAAATGATTCTGTCATTTACTCACCCTCATGTTGCATTTCTTTCTTCTGCTGAATACAACAATAGAGATTTCGAACAGTTTTGGTTCCCAATGGAAGAAAACAACTTTTTTTGTCCACAATGATAGTATATTTTATATAGTATTAATGTAGTATTTTAGTGTTCACGAATTGGCCCCATTCAAGTCCATTGTAAGTGCCTCACTGAAACCCACATTTTGCTTTCTTAAAAAAAAATGTTTTTAGTG